GAGGCTGACCTCAAACTCACAGAGATCTGCCTGCTTCTGTCTCCTGAGTGCTGGAATTAAGGGTGAGTGCCACCACCCCTGGTACAAGTATAGACTGTAAGTGATGTGGTGCCTGGGGCTAAATGCAAACCTTAACCTCTGTTTCTCTACCTTTACTATGGGGATGGGACCAATCTTTTAGGGTTGTCCAGAGGGGCACACGCATTGTTTGCAGTACTGAAAGTGAACACTCATGTTCATTCATCAGAACCTGTGTTCATCTGGCTAAGGTTTTGTGTGTCACTTCTGATTATATGGGAAAGAACTTGTGTGTTAAATTTTGTGTCTCTTGTGACAAAAATATCTGAGAAAAACAATTTAAAGGAAGTATTTTGGGCTCATGTTTCTGAAGTTTTAGTCCATGGTTGCTTGGATCTATGTTCTAGATCTGTGGTGAGGCAGAGCTTCCTGAAGCAGGAAAGCTACTCACTTCATGACAGCCAGGAAAAGATAGAGGACCAGGATGGGGAGAAGGGAGGAGAGAGGGGAAGAAGAAGACAGAGAGAGAGAGAGAGAGAGAGAGAAATACACACATGTTGTTGGTTGTTTTTACTCTGACTTTTTGGGGGCCAGCCACCCAGCTCCCAAACAAATCACACAGAGTTTTATTATTATTTATAAATATTTGGCCTTAACTTGGCTTAGTTCTAGCCAGTTTTCCTTAATTTAAATTATCCCATCCACATTTTGCCTCTGGGCTCTTACCTTTTTCTGTTTCTGGATATCTTTTCTTTCCTTCTTAGTCTGTGTCTGGTTATGTGGCTGGCCCCTTCTTGTCTCCTTCTATTTATTCTCCCTTCCTGCCAGCCCTGTCTATCCTTTCTCCTGCCTTGCTATTGACCATTTAGTTCTTTGTTAGACCAATCAGGTGTCTGAGACAGGCAAAGTAACACAGCCTCACAGAGTTAAACAAATGCAACATAAAAGGATACAACCCATTTTTGCACCACTAGACAAAAGTTCCACAGCATAAACAAATGTAGCACATCCTAAAATAATATTCCGCAACACATACACTATATAATACATACACATGTGTGTATATATACACTTTTCAAAGGCACTCTCACAGTGGCCTACATTCTCCAATTATGCCCTATCTCCTTCTTATGCCTAATCATCTATGAGCTCAGCTCATCAATTCAGTAATCCCTTGATGAAGATATATATTACCCTTATAATCAAATCACCTCACAATACCACCAATATATGGGGACCAGGCCTTCAACACATGAGCCTTCTTGAAGGATACTTCATATCCAAATCATAACGACTGTTTTTCATGGGCATTTGGTATGTGTGCATGTGTATATACATGTTCATATGTGTAAGAGTACTTGTATATATGTGTAGGTCCAAAGTTGATGTAGTATGTCTTCCTTGATTGTTCTCTACCTTACATTAAGGCAGCATCTCTCACAGAACCCAGAGTTCACTGTTTTGGCTACTTTAGCTAGCCAGCTTTCTCTGTGGGTCCCCTGTCTCTACCCCTTGAGCACTGGGATTTCAGGTGGGTCACTACACCCCTGGTATCTAGATTGGTTCTGGGAATCCAAACTCTAGTCTTCATATTTTGCACGGCAAGCACTTCACACACTGATCTGTCACCCCAGCCTCATAATATACATTTTAAAAACATGTATATGATCTATATATCTATATATGTAATTTTTTCTCTCCCCATCTCCATACCCATTCTGACTTTTTTGGGGGGGGGAGTTTTGAGATAGGGTTTCTCTGCGTATCAGCCCTAGCTGTCCTGGAATTTGCTCTGTAGACCAGGTTGGCCTTGACTCAGAGATCCGCCTGCCTCTGCCTCCTGAGTGCTGGGATTAAAAGCATGTGCCACCACTGCCTGGTCTGATTTTTTTTTTTTTTTTAATAAACCTTTCCATGCCCTGACTGGTTGTTGTCTGGTGGACCTACCTACCTTTCAACTCTAGGAGTCAAAAGTAGACTTGGAAGCTGGGTGTGATGGCACACACCAGTAAGTCTAGCACTCCAGAGGTGGAGGCAAGAAGATCAGAGGTTAAAGGTCAGGCTTGGCTACAACTGTGTTACAGGACAGCATGGACTACATGAAACCCTATCATAAAATGAAACAAAACAAAACAAAACCCAAACCAAATAAAATAGCAGTTGGATGGCTAATACTTTTGTATGGCTCAGGTGTGCAGAAGATACACCTGATTGAATACTTCTAGTTGATACCAAAGAGCCAGGAAGCAGAAGTCCGGGATCCTCTTAGATGTCAAATACCAGGTCACGGGAGGGAGTCAAGCAGTATCCATTGCCCATTTAGATGTATGGTTCTTCCATGTGAATGCTTGTTACTATGTCAACAGGAATGAGAGGAAGGTGAACCTGGCTTTGTCAGAAAAGGCAAGGCCTTGGAGATAGCTTCTGTGTAGTTACCTCTGTCCAGGATCACAGCTGCTCTGCAAACTTGATAGATTTCTCTTTTGAGGATCATGACCAAGGTAGAACCAGGCACAGAATCAGCCCAACCAGTCATCCCATCCTATCATAGCCCAGTCCAGCCCTGCTTGCTTTTCCAGGTTCCAGAGGCTTGAAATGCTTCATATTCTGCATGCCTCTGTGACTGCAACCTTCAGTGCTTAGCTAACTCAAGCCTACTGGCATTTCTTTATATCCCAGAAATGCATGGGGATCAGTTGAAAAGGGTGGAGGCCAGAGCAAAGGAGATCTCCTTTCCTTCCCTGCTAGTGGCACAGAGGAGAGAGGTGGCTGGACAGGCAGGTTATTACAGAAGCACTGCTGATTTTCAGAACATCTGTGTTATCATTTGCAAATCACTTCACCTCGATGTCAGTTTCTTTATCTGTACAAGGGAGCAGGTTGACCTGTATAGCTTCCAAATTTCTTTGTCACAGGAATTACATTGTACAGTTCCCTGCAGCTCAGTGTGATAAACCCAGAGAACAGCAGCAGCTTTTAGCAGATAGACACAAGGCTCAGAAAAGAAAAATCCCTCCTGATGGAACCACCAACAGGGGAATAACAAGTGCAGCAGACGAATAAGAACGGAGGGAGACGAAAGCTTGAAATCACAACTTACTACGTGTATGCAGGGGATTCAATGATAACCATGCTGACCTGGCAGCAGGCTGAGAGTTCAAGGGGCATGGAGAAGATTGCTTGAGATGGGGGAGAGGTTCCATAGCGGGACCTCTGCAAACTAGGCATGCCCATCCTGGACATGGACCATGTAGTGGATAGAAGCTATGGCTGCAGGCAGATCTGTGAGTGTCTCCTGTGTGCTTTTCAGTGAGTCCCTTAAACTTCAAATTCTTTGGCTTCTCAGCCACTAAGTGGGGATCAAGATGGCACTTCTGGATGTAGGTTTGGTTGGGGGGTAAGGAGTTAATGAGATCAGGTGAGCCTGATACACAGCGGTTACCTCCCCTTCCTTCTTGGATTATATTTTCATGCAGGCAGATAGAGATTCACCAAGACATTCTTCTTAGGTGTAGTGGCCTAGGCCTTTCAAAAATTATTTTTGTGTAAGCCTGGCATGGGATTGCACATCTATACTCGTGGCACCTACAAGTGACAGAGGAGAATCAAGAGTTCTGGGCCAGCTTCAGCTACAGAGTTTGAGGCTAGTCTGCACTACATGACAACCCGTCTCCAAAAAAGCAAAAGAAGGGGCTGGCAAGATGCCTCAGCAGATAAAGGAGCTTATCACTCAGCCTGTTGGCCTGTGCTCATTCTTAAGGACTTTTATGGCATGTACATACATCGGTATACACATGAGTATAAACACCTTCATGTTGGGCATGTGGCTCATACTGGTGAACCCAGCACTCAAGAGGCTGTAGCAGGAGATTGTTTTAAATTGAAAAATAAAAAAAATATATTTTCTACTAAAAAAAAAAAAAAAAAAAAGGGCATGTTAACTGAAGGGTGACAAGAGCTGGGAGACATGCTGATGTCCTGTCACCCAGTGGGCTCGACCAGTCCTTATATTTGTAAAAATCTACTATGTAGGGCCTGGAGAGATGGCTCAACAGCTAAGAGCACTGGCTGTTCTTCAAGAGGATCCGAGTTCAAGCACCCACATGGTAGCTTACAACTGTCTGTAAGTTCAGGTCCCCAGGATCTGACAGCTTCACACCAATACACATAAAATAGAGTTAAAATAAATTATTTTTAGAAATCCTACTATGCAGCTTGTTATAGTGTGAATTTGGGCTCAGTAGGCAGGCCCCTGACCAGGCCAGAAATGCTGCCTTTTTACAAATTTCCAGGGCTGTACATGCCATTGGTCAGAGTGCCTGCTCCTGTGCTCAGGACATTTCTGCCTCTGCTTTCTGCTGGAAAGGACTGTCCTTCCAGCACTGGTTCTTGCTAGTAAAAGCACTTGATTGCTCACTCAGTTTCAGAGGCCCCAGTTCTATAGTCACTGACCTTTTTGCTTTGGGCTTGTGGTGGGGTCATGCAACATGGCATGACCTAAGCATGAGGTGAAGGAAACTTGTTCATCTCATGGCCCCAAGAATCTCAGGATCCCCTTTGATGGCATGTCCCCCACTGGCCTTCTTTACAGTCATTAGGCTCCATCTTGTGAAGGCAATCTCTCAAGGACAACACAGGCTGATGTATAGTCATTTAGCCTTTGAAGGACATATAAGAAGCAAACCTTTAAGATCCTCTAAACCGCTCTGTCCCTTTACTGGAGCAATTAGCAATGTTCCGGATAGTGTCTGCTCCAGCAGGTAGGTCTTGAACTAAGGAAGAATGACATGAAGTGTGACTCTCAGCTGACCTGAGGTGGGCATGTCATGAAGACAAGACATTATCTTAAGTAATTGAGATTTGGGGGTTGTTTGTTGCTACAGCATAACCTAGCCCATCCTGACCAATTCAAACCCCCACTCAATTCCCAAGACAGGATCTCACTGTGCAACCCTGGCTGGCCTGGAACTCACTTCGTAGACATGGCTAGCTTAGAGTTCCTAGAGATCCACTTGTCTATGCCTCCTGAATGCTGGGGTTTCAGGTATGTGCCACCTGTGGTCAATATATAGGTTTTGAACTTGGTCCATTTAGTCCAAAAAACACATTCTTATCGTATTATCTGCTCCAGATCTCCCAAAAAAAGAGATTTTAATAATTGGAAGCATGTTCAGGGTACTTACTTTCTTTCAGGAAACATTATAAGTGCTTTGGCTATTTCAATGCAATTCTGAGAAAGAGGGATTGTCACCATCAGCATCCTCACTAATAGATAAGCATATTAAAGCATAGAGAACCTGTGGAATATGCCCAGGATCACACAGCTAAGACATGATAGGATTGGAAATACCTACTACATTTGGTTCCTAAAGTCAAAGCTCATACATCTGTCTGTCTGTCTTTCTAATTATTTAATTTATATGTATAATTGAGCTGTATATCTATCATCTATCTATCTATCAACATTTATTTATTTAGATTGTAGGGTACTTTCTTCTCTATCAGAAATTATCATAGATTATTTCTTATCCTGACTTTAGAGATTCATATATCCTACATATCTAGCACAATGTAATTATATTTTATTTTCAATTTGGAAAAGAGGGGAATGGGGAGACTTCTAGGCCTAAATCCACTCACCTTTTCTAGTTCTTCCTTTGTTTGAGGGGGGTCTTCCTGTAGTTGGTTCCTTTGCATTCTGCCTCTTGCTGGCCACTTCTGGGCATTGTGTAGTTAGTTGTCCTCAAGCTATCTTAGTCATTGTTCAATTACTGTGAAGAGACACAATGAACACAGCAGCTCTTACAAAGGAAAACATTTAATTGGGACTTACTTACAGTTTCAGGTTTAGTCTGTTATTTTCATGGCAAGGAGCATAGCAGCATGCAGGCACATGGTAGTTGAGAGTTCTACATCCCTATCTTAAGGCAGCAAGGAGAGAAAGAGACTCTGGGCTTGGCATGGGCTTTTGAAAGCTCAAAGCCCACCCCAGGTGACATAGTCCTTCAACAAGGCCACATCTCCTAATTTTTTCCAAATAGTGCCACCCCCTGGTATTCAAATCTCTGCATCTATGGGGTCATTCTTATTTAAACCACAACACAAGCCTTAGACAAAAAGCTCCTGTCTTTTAAATTCTGAGTTTCTTTCTTACTTCCTCTTTCAAGGTATTCCAAAACCATGAATCTGGGGTCTGTCCTGCCAGGACATGAAGGTCCTGGAATCACTAGGAGCTGAAGGTGGGTCCTACTAACTTTGGAGGTGGGCTGGGGACATAGAAGCAAGTGGGCTTCTTATGGTGGGCATCTGCCATAGAAATGCTAGGGACCCTTGAAAGCAACAGCTGTCTTTCCCACACTTTCAGGTGGTTACGGAAAAATATGTCTCTTTGAAAGTCAAGTTTTGTTTTCTATAACACACACACACACGCAGACTCACACACACATAGACACGCACACACCAGTGGGGTGTGTGTGTCCTGCTCTAGTAAAGAATTAGAAAAATGCTGAATGAGGCACTGCTTGAAGTCAGAAACAGAAAAGGTCGCCAAGGCACTCTCAGGCTGTGAGCCTGGGCAGGTGATTCAGGCTTTCTTGAGGGAGGAATTGAGGTCTGATGGACAAACATGGCATTCTAACCACAATTCAGTTAGTCCATAGTAAACATCCTGTTGCTATTATGAAGATAAAATGCTGCTTTCTTTTTCTTCTTTTTTACAAAGTTTTTTTTTTTTTTTTTTTTTTTTCTTCTAAAATTCTCCCTCTCCATTCAAGTAAGCGAAGGAAGGCAGGAAGGTCTCAGGGCAGCCATGCCTGCAGCATTAGCTAATCAGACTCTCAAGAAACATTCCATTCTGCTTAGGAGGGCCTTGGAGAATGGTTTGCTCCTGGTGGCTTTTAAAGTACACAGAGGGTTGCCAGGCTGAATGGACTCCCTGTGGGGCTGGTGACCTGGTTTGAGGCTGGTGCCCAGCAGGCCTGCCTCCTGCTGGGATGTAGACTGGCCATTAAGGACTTGTCTTCCTCTTCCTGGTTTTGGGGGGTGGGGTGTGAAGTGGAAAGTCACAAAATCTGTCTCTTATTCTAATATGGGTGGGAAACGGGAGTCTTGAGAATGTAATAAACAGTTACAGTCAGCACACAAGAGCACTTGACGTCAACTTTTATCCGCAAACATCAAGAGGTGAGGTGCTATGGCAGAGTGCCAAGAAAGAAACGGTTTCAGTTCCTGGTTTTATCATATGCAGCTGCGTGACCTCACATAAGTAACCGAACATCTATCTACCTATTTATCTATTGTCCATCCATCTATCTCTTTGGATATACTTATTATTAAAGACACAATACAGGTGACTTAATAGAATATTCTAAGCACGTTTGACAGCAAAGATTGCCCAAAAAGCTGGTTGAAAATACAGACTCCTGGTATCACCACCATTTAGAGTTTAGGGAAAGACCCAGGCACCCCCACCCCAGGGCTCCACCATAACTCCTACCAAGCAACTTAGGAAGGTATCCCTCTTTTTTTTTTTTTTTTTTGGCATTTTTGTGTGCCTGCCTCTATATCCAATAAAAATTTAGCTTTTTTGTGAAGGAGAAATGACAGAAAAAAAAGTCAAATATTATTATGCTGTATATATATTCTCAAGGCAAATGTATATTGAACTTGGTAGAGTAGATTTATTCCTGAAAAGCTATTTTGCAATTGTAATCTGGTGTGTGCTGTGCGTGTTGTATAAGAATATAACTCATGTCTTATTTTGCTATTGAAAGGCACACACTCACTTTAACTAAGTAAGTGTAACTGGAATGGCTGCTATATGCTGTGAATATAGTGATGAACAAGACACAGGCTGTCTTTGCCTGGCTGTTTTAGACTCCTAAGGGGATCTAGCTCAGTTCATAGGGTGTTTGCCTAGCATGCATGAAGCTGTGGTGTGGGCTCAATCCTCAGCACCACACAAGTGGGGTATGCATGTCTATAATCCTAGCCAGCACTCAAGAGGTAGAGAGAGGAAGATCAGAAGTTCAAGGTCATTCTCAGGTGTATTTGGAGTTCGTGGTTAGTCTCTGCTACCTGAGACCTTTTTTACAAAACAAAACACTCCACAAATACAAAGTGTGGTTAAATAGAGTTAAGCATAGAAAGCTATGGTTCACTGAAGAGAAGTGCACACCATATAAGCTGGGATATTCTAGCTGCAAAAGGACCAGTCCTGTGAAATCCTTTTGTGGAGGGAGTGATTCTTTCCTGGTTTGTCTTTGCAGAGAATCCATGTTCCCATCAAGTAACCATACATTTGCACAAAGCTTCAGCACCTACTGCGGACAGAGCACTGAACAAGATGCTACAGAGGAGATAGAGGAGATGCCCACAAGGAGTTTGCAACTATCACTGTTCAGAGTTCATCAGTCCTCTGTCATTCGTTTATTGTGCTGCATATAGTAACCTCTTCTCTGAAAAAGCTGTTTTTTTTTTTTTTTTTTGAGACAGGTTTTTCTCTGTGTAACAGTCCTGGAACTCACTCTGTAGACCAGGCTGGCCTCTAACTCAGAGATCCACCTACCTCTGCCTCCCAAATGCTGGGATTAAAGGTGTATGCCAACACTGCCTGGCAAGACTGTTCATTTTTAAATAGAGCAGGGGCATACATCTGAGCCAGGAGGAAATCAAACTGCACACAGGAGTTCACACAACTGTTTGCAGATCCAAGATGTGAATCTGTGGCAACTGAGATGGGTGTATTGGGTCCGTGAGCATCAGGAACAGCATACAGACTTAGTAGCACTAAATTTCTCTGCTCTGTGCACCATGACATGAAGACTTTTTGTTTTTTGAGACAGGGTCTCTCTCTAATGTAGCCCTGTCTGTCCTGGAACTCAAGTGTTGACTAGGTTGGACCTGATGTAGCTCCACCTGTTTCTGTCTCCTGAGTGCTGGGATTAAAAGTGTGAGCCACTATGTCTGGCTGGCATGAGTGCTTTTAAAAGACACTTGTTTCTGCCACAAGAAGGAGAGAAAGGGAACAACAGAATTCCTCCTTGGCTATGATAATCAGATAGTGTTTAATCAGATGTAGAGTACAAAGGGACAAGTGCAGTCCTTGTCCCTCTTACTCCTGTCTCTCTGTGTGAAGCTTTGTTCCCACCTTACAGTTGGGACCCAAGTGGGACGGGTTGGAAACCTAGTGGTCTACACTCTTCATTCTCAGACTAGACTCACGTTTTTGTTTTTTAATCTTGGCCACTTGTTTTCCCAAATAGAATTTTCAGCCTCCTATTCCTGTTTCTTAGAAGGCCAAGGTTGATGAAGCATCTGTCCCCCCCTCCCCAAGTTGCTCCCACTTCCTGTCACACTGCTCCCCTCTATCTACTCGGTGAAACCCAACCACCCTTCAAAGCCCAGCTCAAGTGTCACCTCTTCCATTGGTTGGACTCAATCTCTCCCTTCCTAGCAAGCCTTGGTTTGGTATTCTCTCATTACTTCTTGGCACAGTGGATTGGGCTCTTCAGTTTCCTCTTGCGAGTCTGGGCACAGTAGCAATATTCGTGGTAGTCTAACTCCTTTCAGATCAGGTCTTGTGATGACAGCTGCCAGCTGGGCTCACTTTGTATCCCACCCTCTCTGGGACTTTACCCATGATCTCATTTAATTGCTAGCCAAGTCTCTGTAGACAGGTACCAGTAGTATCTCCATTTATACCAGAGCAAAGGGTGGTCCAGCGAGGTGAAGCCTCTCACTCCAGATTACACAACATGGATTAAATAGCTAGTATATAGCACAGCTGGGCTTGCCACATGCCACAGCTGGGGCTTTAATCACTGGACCAGCTTCTGTCCGGGTCCAATGTCTGGGGAAAAGAACAGAATGCATGGTGTGCTTCCAATAGTTTCGGGGTTCATCCACTCCCTCCAAAACCCAGCCACGGGCCAGGCTTCACCGGATTGCGGTCTAGAAGCAAGCCTGGCTGTGACCTGGGCAAGAGGCACACTCAACCAGGGGTCAGGGAACGAGTCCCAGGCTGGGGAGTCTGTAGTGACCCATCTGCACTGGCGAGTGGCTCTGGAACAGTGGAACAGCGTCCCGGGTCCCGAGTCCCAGGAATGTGGGAGGGCTGGGCGGGCAGGGAGGGGGCGCTTCCTCTGGCCGCGGGAGGGGAGACTCTTGAGCGTGCACCGGGCCCGCCACCGCCCACTCCCCGCCCGCCGCCAGCTCGCTGGGGGCGGGGGCCGCGGCGAAAGGGCGGCGAGGGGCCGCGGAGCACCGCAGTCGCCTGGCCCGCCCGGCCGGGAGGAAGCGATGAATATTCAGAGGGGGAGGGGAGGAGAGGGGGCCGAGCGCTCGGCGCGGCTCCCTGCAGCCGGAGCCGCATGACGCGCGGAGGAGGCAGAGGGAGCAGCCGAGGCCGCGGGAGCCGGGAGCCCGGCGCCACGCGCGGGGGGTGGGCGTCGCTCGCTCCGCCCCGCGAAGCCCCTGCGTGTCTAGGGCCGCGGCCGCTCCGCGCCAAGCGCGCTAGGCTCCGCCGTGTGGCCGCCGCCGCCGCCGCTGCCATGTCCCCGGGGAAGCCCGGGGCGGGCGGAGCGGGGACTAGGCGGACTGGCTGGCGGAGAAGGAGGCGGAGGCGGTGGCCGGAGGCGGAGACGAGGGAGCCCGGCTTCGGGCACACGGCGGGGCGCGTCCCGGGCACGTTCCAGGGCGCGCAGGGCATGAAGCCCGCGGCGCTGGAGACGCGGTCACCCCCGCGCTCGCCCGGGCTCCGCTGGGCGCTGCTACCGCTGCTGCTGTTGCTACGCCTGGGCCAGGTAAGCCTTGGGGTGGGCCTGGGCGTGTGGCGGGAGGGCCAGACTGGCATCCCCTGCACCTGCCCGTGTGTCATCCGCTCGAGGATTACCCGGTAAGGTGCTGTGGATCGCAGTGCTGGGAGCCTTCCTTCTCGAGGGGTTTGTTGCGGATCTTGGCCGGCCTCCTGCTCCCGCCACCGAGCCCCTTCTCCGGCTGCCGGGTGCCAAGGGGAGGGCGGGATCCTGGGGCCCCCAGGGTGTTCCCGCGGTCCCCGCAGACTCTGCGGAAGCCCCCGCGTGGGCTGCAGGCCGGAGCTGGTCACGTCTGGCCAGCGCGGGCCCAGCTCGCGCGCCGGAGGCGGCCGGAGGGGGCGTGTTTGCGGAGGGTTGTGGATGCGGAGCAGGGCCGGCCTGGCCGTACCGAGGCCGACCTCCGACATGGCTTGGAGGGGCTCTGGGGTTTGAGCGGAAGGGTAGTGGCGGTGGCCCGGTGCTCAGGAACAGGGCCTGGCGCAGGGCAATCGGGCGGTGGGCTAAGCGCGGGACCTCAGGGTGGAGGGCGCTGTTTGTGGGGAAAGTTCCCAGCCTTGCCAAGGTGGCCGCTCAAAGGCGTCCCTTGAGGCTGCCGGCCTTGTTCTCATCATCACGCCCGAGATGGTGCTGGCTCTTCTAGGTGTGTATTGGTGCTTTGTGGGTGCTAGCTAACCCCTGTCCCTCCGAACCATTTTTTCCCCCTTGCTTCACTTTTTCAGTAATGTTGCGCCTCGAATATTGGATCTTTCCTTTTTGTGGTATTTCCATGGTGAGGGATGTGTGTGATGCAGGGCAGTTGGGAGATATTCCCATTTTGCAGATAGGGAAGTGAGGGAGAGAAGTGAAAGAGTGGAATCACCCCGTGGGGTGCTTCGGGAGGCTGAGCAAGCGAGTTCTGCCCCACAGCTTTCTGGGAGCTGGCTGTGGTCTTGAACCCTGCAGCAGAAAGTGGCCTGGAGGATGCCTTGCTTTTTGCTAATGAAAATCTCACTTACTTTATAGATACCAGCTCCAAGCAGACAGTGAAACACCAATGAAGTATTGGCTGGGGATGGAACCTGGTTTCAAGGGAAAACTGCACGCACACATGTAGGATTGTCTAAGAGGAAACATACGCACTTGGGCGGCAGAGCAGGCAGGCAGAAGAAGGGAGCCTGGGTCTGGGGGCTGCCCTCACTCAGCAAGCAGGATTTGCCCAAGTCTCAGGGAGTTCTGGAAAGTGGTGTGACCTTCAGCAAATAATTCTTTACTGGAGTAGGTGTGAGATGAGTGCCAGTGTCTAATGAAACATCAAAGTTGAATGTGCCCTCTCTTCCCTCCCCTCCATCTTCAATGAAAAGCATCTGAAGAACGGGGGCCAGGTCATTGTTTTGTAGAATTGTCTGTAGGGTTTCAGTTGGACATGTCTGAAATTTTTGTAGATATAAAAAATTCACTTTTCAGATAATGCTTTACCAGATGGAATTAACGTTAAGGAATGGTGTGTGAGGGCTGGTTTCATCCTGTCCCTATAAGAAGTTCATGCACTTAAGCCTTTGATGCTAAAGAAAAAGAACTGCTTCATGCTTGAAGTCCCCCAGCCGCCTTTCCCAGGAATTCACTACGTAGAATAGGGTGGCTTCAGACTCATTGAGATTCATTTGCCTCTGCCTCCCATGTATAGGGATGGCCCTGTCTTGATATTCTCTTGTCCTATAGAAACATTTGATCTACATTACCTTTAGTTTAACTACACACACACACACACACACACACACACACACACACACTTTTGTTTCAACTATAGAAGTTGCAAGCTGTGCTCTGAATCAGCAAAAAGTATCTTGGGTAAATTTATTTCTTGCTCAATCCTTTCTTGTGTTTCATTAGCATATTGCTACTCTCCACTTGCCTTGTATTTGGTTATTTCCTTCCTCTGTAGCTGATTCTGTAGAAACCCAAGAGTACTGTCTTCATATTCTTGTTTTTAGATTTATTACAAAATAGGAAATGTAAAAGGTTTTGTGAAGAAATATCTTCAAAAGCTCACATTCAGCAGTTTCATTTTGATGGTGACTATTACAGGGAATTGGAGCCCCACCCTGACTCTTTCTTGTGGTGCTGGGGTTGGAACCCAGGGTGGGAAATTCTCTCTCTCTCTCTCTCTCTCTCTCTCTCTCTGTGTGTGTGTGTGTGTGTGTGTTTGTGGGTGTGTGTGCTCTACCATTGAGTTACATCTTCAGTTCTCAACTTTAGAATTGACTCAAAATGAGTTTCAGGGGATGGGAGGATGGGTCATTGAGTGTGAGTTCTTGCTGCACAAGTGTGAGGACTTGAGATCAAATTTCTAGATGTGGCTTGCGGTTACATGTGCCTGGAACCCTTGTACTGCAGAGAGTAGACGCAAGAAGAACACTGGGGTTTGTTGGCTACCAGCCTAGCTCTAGATTCAGTAAGAGACCCTGTCTGAAAGGAATAAGATGATGTGATAGGTTAGAAGGCTCAGTGTCCTCTGCCTCATGTGCGTACAGGTGTATGCATCCATACTTGTGTGTTATGCTGATATGCATATTCACACTTTTCCTTAATCTTAACCCCCATTTTGTTTGTTTTTTGAGACAGGGTTTCTTTATGTAGCCAGCCCTCTCTGGTAGAACTCATTATATAATCCAGGTTGTCCTTGAACTCACAGAAATCTGCCTGCCTCTGCCTCTTTAGTTTTGAGAGTTTGGCGATAGATAGCTCCAGGGTTTGGAGACAGTTCAAACTCTTCATAACTCTTAGATGAGAATGTTGGAGTTGAGAGAAGATGTGCTGAAGTTTCTTGGCAAGATAGGATTATGAAAAAGCCAGGAGTAGAACTTGGGTGTCCAGCCTGTGCCTAGTATCTTTGGCTGTGTTTTCTCTATGGGTACAGTGCTGTGTTATTGTGTATGCCCCAAACTGCTTACAAATTGAGTTTAAAAGTCAATTAGACCAGGCTCACAACTATGTCCAGCTCCAGGGGCTCTGACCCTCTCTTTTGGTTTCCACAGGCACCCACACATCCATGACAGACAGTCACATAGTTAGACACACATACACATAAATAAAGACAATAAATCTTTTAAAAGTCAGATTTTAGGTAATTTTGGAATTTATTTGTGTAGGAAATAAGGGGGCATATATTTGATGTTCTTTCTAATAGTTGATTGGTCTTGTGAGGCTGTCTTATTTAAGTGGAGGAAAAAAAAGGAGAAGTCACAGAAAAGACCCAGGTCTTTTTGGACACTACTGAGGACAGGGTGTGGAACCTGGAGAACTGAGGTGCCAGAAGGCTCAGTACTTAGTAGGCCTGAAAAAGCCATTTTTGAAACTGGCATCTCACTCCCTCTCTCCAAGACAGGAAGAACAGTCCGAGATGACTGTAGGGCGAGGACTTTCTTAGTTGTGCTGTCTTAACCATCCCTTTCTGGTACATTTTTACACACTAGTTTTGGTTTATGTGTGTGTTAGGTATAGTTCTGCTTTAAAATAGTAGTAGTAGTAGTAGTAGTAGTAATAGAAACAAAACAAAAGCAATGGTAGCCACTTGGTGGTCCAGGGTTCCCTTTTGCTTTGTCTTCTTGCTTCCTGGTGGATGATAAGTTTGTGTCTTTATGTATTGTGGCTAATCCATCAGCCTGCCTGCTTTCTTATTTCAACCAGAGTATACACACTAAATATTTTGGCTTCTTTTATAACTGCTTTTTAAATTCTCACAGGAGTGACTTTATTTTGCTTCAGAACAACAAAGGAAAGCCCAGGGATTCGATTCTGTTTTGTTTGCAGACAGTTTAAGAAAACAGAGCAAATTGGTTTATGGTTAGTCTGTGACTTTGGGTTAACTTCAAGTTCAGCCCCAGGACAAAGATGACCAGGAATAACCAAGTTTTCCTGAGCAGAGAGAATCCTGGCTCCAGAGTGGGTAATTTTGGTCAGCAAAGAGGTTATTTAGCTCCTAAAAGTGATGCTTGAGGCTGAGGCCGAGTTGCTGGATGGCTGTAGCCTGGCTTTTGCCAGTGCATCATAAGTAATTACTTCTTAGTTCATTCACTTCTTGGCCAGGGGAATTATTTTGAGTGCCGGATAAGATGCAATTTTCTGTGTATTTCCCTTCTAACATCATGCCACCGATAATATTATAATTAATAGGTAGCATTAGGTGTGGTAGGTACTGTGTTAGGGCTTTTAATGCATTATCTCATTTGACCATTTCAGAAGTTCTGGTGGTAGCTGCTGCTTATGTTCTCATTTTATTGTGAGAAAACTGAAGTTCACAATTCCCCAAGAGTCATAAGTGGAGCCAGGCCTCCATTACCCCATTTTAATGTCCTGTGCTGTAGAAGTGATGTGTTTTCAAGGTTTTCAGTGTGTAACTGAACACTGATGCCAGACTTGGAGGCAAGAGACAGGAGTGTGGGCTTGATAGGGCTGGGAGTTATTTTGGATTCTTTGTGCCCCAAATCATGTGGAATTGACACCTTCAGGTCCCACTTGGCTACTAATGTTTCTTTGGATCCTGAGTATATATACAAAGGCACACCTGCCTTGGTGTGGACAAACTGAATGTGGAGGACATGGGTGTGGGTTTTGCTCTGCCACTTAGTAGCTCCATGAACAGTAGACAAGCCAGTCACCCTCTGTGACTCTTCATTTCCTTATCTGGGAAATGGAACTAATACTTCCTGCTTAGCTGGGTGGTGGAGGAATCAAATAAGATAGAAGGACAGACTGTCTAGTTAAACCTAAAGCCTGATCCATTGCTGGCAGTGGCCACTGCTGTTGTGGGGGCATTGCAGGATGGGGAGGGAAGAAACAGGGCTTCAAGTCATTAGTTTCTGGAACACATATTGCCTAATGTTTCTCAAGAAGTTTTTATTTTATTTTTTAAATATTTTAGGAATTATTTTAGTTAGTGAAACAGTTTTTGTTGCTGGGCGTTGGTGGCGAATGCCTTTGATTCCAGCACTCGGGAGGCAGAGGCAGGG